TATAACGCCCACTTTTATGAGACGGAGGGAGTATATGTGTTTGTTCATATGCATCTATATGAGTACCTCATGTATATTGTATTTTGAAAAGGAGAGATAGGCTAGCTAGCTGATACATGCGGATGGTCAATAGATACTGGACAATCAGCGTACGTACATGTATATGAGTACCACGTATATTGTATTTTGAAAAAGAAAAGATTGGCTAGCTAGCTGATACATTGGGATGGTCAATAGATAGCTACCCGCCGTATATCAGGATGGGAATAGCTCCCCGTGTATTAGATACTACTCGGCAATCTGCCAGAATCGCAATTTTCAGTTTTTGCCACCTGTTTTTCAATTTCATTAAAATAATAAGAAAATTCCATGTAGGGCGTTTCCAGAAGGCGTCATATGAATCATATGCGTTCATCCCTTGTAGATGGTGTTTGGCACATTCGAATGAGCTAGAGCTGTTTTGGAGAAGCCCTAATTTGTGGCTTCTTCCAAAACGGTTTCGGCTCCTCTATTTTTTACTGGAAAATGGCTTCTTCTATGAAACTTTTGACATGGCTCCTCTTAAGAGCTGGAGATAAGCCCTGCAAACACAGGGTTACTATTTATAGGGGCAGTGGAGCACACAAAATTACACACACTTGCAAAGTTATACGATGCGACATGTTAATTACTACTGTATTACTACTAGCACGGACCACTTACTGGCAAATGCCCTGGTAATTATTCTAAATTCTAAAAGCGCTGACAATGATGCCTCGCTTCCTGTCCTTCGCCATGAACCCCTTCTCCATCTGGAGCACGACGGATAGCCTCGGCTCCACCTCGTGCCCTTGCAGCACCATGAAATCGAGATTCCACACCATGCAGGCGACCACACACTTCATCTGCGCGACCGACACGTCCTTGCCCAAGCACGACCTCGGCTCGGCGTTGAAAGGCAGGAACTTGTGCGCCGGCACGTGCCGGCGCCGCAGCGCGCCGTCCTCCGTGACCCATCTCTCCGGCCCGTACGCCGTGCAATCGTCGCCCCACACGGCCTGCATCCTGCCCATTGAGTAGAGCGAGGTCAAGATGTTATCGATCCCCGGCGCGCACTGGGTGGCCGCTCGGCGTCGTCCGGACGCTGCTCCAGCTCGAGCGCAAGCACCGTGCTTCGTGCCCCATTCCTGTCCCCGCGTAACAGAAGCGTGCCCACTGCCCCCACGTCACCCCGCGGGGTCCCATCCTCGCCGCGCGCCGCGTCACCTGAGACATTCTCGTCCTGGTTGAGCCCGCGTCACCCCATGGCGTTCCGTTCGCCGCGCCCTGTCATCTGTCACGCTCAGCTCCTGTCTTATCTCTTTTCTCTCTGCAACATCGGTCGTATAGTCATTGCAACATATGCAACATTAATATTTACTTTTGCAACATCAAGATGAAACACTTACAACGTACATCTAAAACTGATGAAACATTTGGAACATACACTTGCAACATACATGTATAGCCATTGCACACGTATGCAACATTCAGATGTACTTTTGCAACATCTAAATGAAACATTTGCAACATACATCTGAAACAGATGAAATATTTTTAACATACACTTGAAACATACATGTATAGCCATGGCAACATATCAACATATCGTTCTACTTTTGCAACATCAATATAAAACACTTGCAACATACCTCTAAAACATTTAAAACATACGTTTGCATCATGCGCTTTCAGCGCAACATCTCCTTGTTGCTTCGGCGAATGGAGGCTCGTCGGCGCGTGGAAGTCACCAGTATAGAGCTCACCGGCAGCACGGAGCTGGGCAGCGACGTATAGAGAGCGGGGTGGGGGCGGCACGGACGACAGCAGTGACGACGCGGAGGGCGGGTGGGTGCGGCGGCGATGGCGCAAAAGGTGGCTGTGAACGCGGTAGCAACGACGACGTAGAGAGCAGGTGGGGACGATAGCGGTGGGGTAGAGGGTGGGTGGGGCGGGGCGTTAGCGACGACGCAGAACGTGGATGGAGGCATCACGCAAAGAAGTGGAGCGTGCGCATCTTGAGACAAAGTGTCCATCCGTTAGGACCGCGTCTGAGCGGATCCAATTACCCCTGCTGTCGTGGTACACTGTTAGAGTATAGGCACGAGCACGAGGCACTAGCCCACTATTTGCATAGTCCCTCCAGCATGCTGCATGGCCTAGGAGGTTAGGACCGCTAACGTTACTCTAGGGGAGTGTTCGGCTGGTCTTATCAGCCAGCTTATTCGCTGGCTTATAAGCCATGGTACAGTATTTTTCTCTTTTCAAAAAATCAGTCATACAAATCAGCACCAGCGGCTTTATAGCCAGCCGAACAAGCCCCGGCTATCAAATAAAAAAATAAAAAGCTCAAAGGCTCGTGGGTTACTCATGTTCGGTTCATTTTAGACTTGTTTCGTGACTGGCTCAAATTGTAAACCAGCCCAGCTCAATCTAGAGCTAAAAGCTCATGCGCCCAACAAACTAGAGTAAATTCATGCGTTAATACTAGTCGTGATTCTACAAAGTGCATAAATATGTATTCTACTTTTCTTGCTCCCTTACATTATACAAATCCTAGGGACCATAAAATGACAAAACAACCAGAGTCCAGTTACTATAAATTAAAGACTCTACACTCTAGTTACCTAAGCTTTGGAACCATAAAAAAATTATTTTTTTAAGAACAGGTTTTCCCCCGATTTATTGATCATAAAGCGTTTCACAAAGTTTAGGCCCAAAGCGTATAGGCGCGCCTACTAGAATTCAAAAACAAAACAGGCCTAGAGGCCATTAGAACCAGCGACTACAGTTTGCAAGACACTCAAACTTTCGAAGACACCATAACACCACCGAACTAGTAACATTATTCAAAACATGTTTTTTATGAAAAATCTAGCGAGATGCTACAGACTCAAAAGTCCAATCACCCCTCAGATTTAAAATCTCTGCCACCACACTCCAAATCCTTCTAGCACCACAACACTAAAAAAACAAGCGATTAATATATTCAGACTCATTACAAAAAACACAAGTTTGGTCTGAAACTTCTCTACTTCTCTTCTTTTAGCTAGATTGTCCCTAGCTAGCATTTTGTTCTTTAAAAGTAGCCACAAAATATGCACCCTAGGGGGTACTTTCAATTTCCAGACAGTATGCACATGGACTGAGGTAACTCCCCTATGATTAGTAACAACATATAGGGATTGTACTGAGAATTTCCCATTGGAGCTAAAGCTCCAGATTAGCTGGTCCTTCTCTTCTACCACCAGATTAACATTTTCCATGATTCTAAAAAGCTCATACCACATATTCAGACACATTCCTTCTAAAGAAAAGTTTCAAAACCTCCATCCCATGAATTCCCAAACTAATGGTCCTCCAAAACCTTCCTTTCTGTCCATTACCTATTTTCCACATAATACCCATTTGGGAAGTTTGCATTGACCAAAGCACCCCTTTACAAAAAGGAGATGCCAGGTTATCCAAACAACAAAGCACATTTGGGTTATTTCTTCTATACTTATAATCTACAATTTTTCTCCAAATCGAATTAGACTGCAAACTATATCTGAAGATCCAAGCACCTACTTCGGGCTCAACAACACATGAAACGCTAGGCGGACAAGCTCCATTCAGAGTGTTCCTTTTCGGTGGGTGCGATATGGTTTTCTTCAAGCTCCAACCATACGTTCAATCTACTGCTGCAAATCACGCTAACCACAAAATCTATTACAAGTTTTTTTTGGCCCTTTTCGTGAGTTGGGCAAGATTGGCCGGCTCCGTGGCATACAAGCTTCAAATTGTCGGCTTCCTCAGCCGTCCATTCAGTCTTTTATGTCTCTCAGCTCAAGGAGTCCTGGGAATAATTCACGTGTTTCCTTCACTCCCTGGCCCTGATAACCCCTTTTAGTTTCCAGTGCCGGTTTTGGCTACGCGTACAGTATCCCGAAGTAACTATCCAGTGCAACAGGCGTTGATCAGTTGGTCAAGCTGGCCTACCTCTACATGCTAAGACATGATCGCACTCAAGCAACGTTTTCTGTTCGCTCCTGCTTGAGGACAAGTAGCGCCTAAAGGAGGGAGGAATGTCACCAGGAAGCCTACCATCGCCGCTGGGAAGAGCGTGGAGCTGAGCACGGTAGAGTCCACATGACTAGAAGCCACAAGCTTTGCCGCTGGGCCACGTCAAAGCTCAAAGGCCCAAGCCTAGTAATATGCGTTTGTCCGAAATTTGATGCCGTAGACCTTCAGGCCTAATTTGAAAACTCTAATCCATCCGGGATCCCGAACTTTTTTCTGGATGGATAATCCATGGGGATATCATTCTATTATTATTCTAGTTTTTAGTGGGGTTTTTTATCCCTAGGTTTTGCTCCCCCTCTTTTCAAAAGAGCCCTCAGGGAAGAGTAGTGAGGAAAGGATATATCTCGTCAAAGCAACCAAACTAAGAACAGCATTCCTCGTCCAATCCCCGCTGTTCCCTCTTGCTCCCTTCCGTTTCCCTCTCTTCCCGATCCTGCATACTGTAACAGTACGATAGCTTGTCATCCCGACCACCGTGCCGTACTGCCATGGAATGAGTCTCATGAGTGACACGTAATGGACCTCAAGAAGATAGTGGTAGGCACAAGCTGCAGAGCTGCTCAGAAACCATGGAAACTGAATAGACGATGGTTAACTAAAGAAAGCACACACAAACAGAACACATTTGCTTATAACTGGTACTTTCCCATTAGCTTTAGTCCAACAGCCTGACAATTAATCCATGATTACAAGAACACGTCCCTCTCCCTTGCCATGTCTGTTTTCTTTTTCATTTCTTGAAAATAAAAGATACTTTGTTAGGGGAAAAAAGGATAACTCATGATGAGATTAGGTTAAGGTTCAGCTCCAGTCTGCCCGAAGTCAAACTACGGTCACTCCCTATAAAGATGCCTTCCCACCATCTCATGCACGCATCGTCTTGTTGCATTGCAGCAGCTGGATCGGTGTCGGTGAGCTCAAGCGCGGTCAGCGCCGGCGCCGGCCCTCGAGTTCCCCAGGGTGAGCTCCAGGTCCCCCTCGTCGATCTCGCTCACCTTCTCCCCCTCCCACGCGCTGAAGGCCCCGCTCGCCTTCTCCCCCTCCCACGCGTTGAACGCTCCGGTCGCCTTCTCCCCCTCCCAAGCGTTGAACGCTCCGGTCGCCTTCTCCCCCTCCCACGCGTTGAACGCCCCGCCGTTCCAGCCGAAGGAGAACCCGTGCGGAACCATCTGTGCGTCACCGTCGCCAGCGCCACGAGCTGCCGCCGCCGCCCACGGCGCGCTGCTGCTCTGTCCCGCCGACCTTGACGAGTAGCTCCCGGCGTCGAAGTCGAACATGCTGTACGCCGGGGACTTGTTGGCCGCGGCGGCGGATATCTGCAGCCCCGTGAGGAGGCTCACCGGGTCGGCCGCCACGGCCTCTCCGCGGACAGGGGTATGCGGCATGGTTACTGGCAGGGAGGCGTAGCGGCTGGGGCCAGGGCTGGCGGCCCACGGCGACTGCACGTTGGAGCCGCCGCCGGCGACGGCGGGAGCGTTGTCCGGCGCCCAGCGCGCCATCTTGCGACGCGGCGGGGAGCCGTTCTGCGGCGTGACCGGCGCGCTGAAGGAGTAGCCGTCGGCGTACGAGGCGTCGTCGGAGTGGGACAGGTTGTTGAGCCACGGGAGGAGGCCTCCGCCAATGCCAGTGCCGCGGCTGCTGCTGGCGCCGCCGTAGAAGAAGCTGCTGCCCCTGCCGCCGAAGTGGGTCGGCGACGACGGGGAGCTCAGGCCGTTGTAAGCTCGCGGGCTCACCGGGCAGGACACCATGCCGGGGCTCACCGGGCAGGACATGCCGGGGCTCACTGGAGAACACCCGGGGATAAAGCCAGCCATATACGGATCACTGCTACCAGGAGGCTTGCATCCCTGCAACACAAAACGAACAGCTTCACAATCACAAATCGGCAGAACAAAAAACAAAAATGCCAAACCAAAATCAAGACAAAAACAAGTTGTAAAAGGAAACAAAGTGAGGAGCTTTAGAAAGCTTGCAAGACATCACGGTTGCTTCCGTTTTGCCAAAGACAAAGAAGTTGTAAATAAAAGGAAAACAAAGTGAGGAGCTTTAGTAGTCAGGACCAATTTCTTCCCCTTTTTTTCAGGGGAAAAAATGGCATAGCATCAGCCATCAAACGTTCACGCTCCAACTAGCAACTGAAGCAGCAGCGTCGGAACAGGCATGAAACCTCCCAAAAAAGCGACGAAGGCAAACGACAAGAATCTACAGCGACTGTGGTCTACGTATACCGCGTAACGGGACATGGTAGCTTTCATCAGAAGCTGTGGCGGCCTGTGGACTGTGGCCGACGTGATGCTCTGCTTTGCCATGTCACACAGCCACGTACACAAGACTACAACACTACAAGAGAAGGGAGGCAGAAAGACATTGGAACAGCTGGATAGATTTAACGAGGGACTGACGTTCGGGAAAACAAGCTTTGGATTCTCGCTACGTATATACGAATAAAACGAAACGGAAAAGATAGCCGGCTTGCAACTGCAGGTAGGACGCGACGCGACGCAGCTCTGCAAAGCGAAGCAGTGCAGGACGAGCTACCAAGAAATCCACGGCGAAATTCAGTGACAAACCGCTCGAATCATCGAGATTTCGCCCAGCACCAAACCAAAACGACGAAGCCATGAATGGATTCCACGGTCCTCTCTCCGAGACGGCAAGGCAGCCGGCGGCAACCGTGCTCGGAACAAGCAAACAGCGGCAGGGGACGGACGAAGCGGATCAGTACCTTGCGGTAGGTGGTGCCGTCGGGCTCCACGGTCCAGCCGGCCTCCTCGCAGAGCGCCTTGAGCACCTCGTTGTTGTCGCAGTGCCTGCGGAGGGCGTAGTTGCCGTGGGCGCGCAGGCCGGTGAAGATCTTGGACGCGATCGCCCGCCGCCGCCGCTCCCGGCGCCGGTTGTTCTCGCGCTCCCTCCACGTCGGCACCCGCGGTAGTGTCCCGGCCCCGACCCCGGCCGCGCCCTCTCCGCCACCGCCGGCTGCTGCCCCGCCTGCTCCGCCGCCGCCGCCGCTCCCTCCCGCTCCTCCTTCTCCTCCGTTCATCGTGCCTCTCCCTCCGCTCAGAGCTGGAGAGCACGTCACGAAGAAGCTGCTGCTCTGGTGGCGTGGTGCCTGGCTAGCCGGCCCGCTGCCGGTGCAGGTTTATACTACGCCACTAGTAACTGGCTAACTGGCGGCAACCCCTCAGGCCGGGCACGCGAGAGGTGAAACGAGACTCATGCGCAGGCTACCGATTTTTTTTTTTGTTTTTCGGCTCTTTTTTCAAAAGATTTTCACAAATACAAGCTCTTTTAAAAATAGATTCTTACCTCGGCTCCGTGTCGATTGGCGCCGAGCTTACACGTCTCGGCGCCAATTGCTTTGGTGCCGAGGTTCAGGGTCATTTTTGCGTGTCGTTAACGTGTCTGCTTGCGTGACGCGAACGTGCCATAAGCTCGGCGTCGAATCTTGGTGTCGAGCGGCATATACATTTTGACGTCGAACTATAAAAATTGATAAATTTTAAAGCAAGTGCATGCATGCATGTCTACGGATGCTGCGGCCCGAAGAGATAGGACAAGCAACCCGCCGCTGGCCGGAGCCCGATGGCGCTGCTCACGCCACCGCTCATTCCCCTTCTCTCGCCACCGCGTCTCGTCTCCAACGCTCCTGGCGGCCGGGGCAGTTCCCAGCCATCTCATTTGTCTCTTCCCCCACAGTCACCGTCACCACGATGAACTCTGCCCGTCTGGCCCCAATGTCTGGCCGCTCCACCGGCGCCGCCGCAGGGGCGCAGCTGCTTCCCTCGACCAGGAGTCTAGCGCCTCTGAAACCACAGTCGCTCCCGAGGAAGACCCAGGGCCACCGGTTTCCTCTGACGCGGCTGCTGATGACGGGGTCGCGACTTCCGCCGAGCCGGCGGACGCGAGCCCGGAGGACCTGGAGAACATCCGCGAAATCAAAAGGGTCCGCTGATTCCAGCCTTCGTTGGCTCGTTTTGCGTCACTGGAATTAGTGCTTACTGACTTTGCTTTCGTTTGGCTCCGTTGCTAGGTACTGGAGTTGTTGAAGTAGAACGGCTCGTTTCTCTTATAATCCGTTTTTTTTCAGCTGTTTTTTCGACAAAATATTGTTTTTATCTCACAACAAATCAGCTGAAACCATATTTCAACTTATTTTTTCAGCGAAGCGAACAGGCCAATAGGGACGTGACCTTTGGCGAGGTAAACTAGCTGCTCTTTGTTTGATTTTTGTGCTCATTTGCATTAAAATACATTGCCCTAGTTGCATTCATGTCAGTAGAATAACAAGTATGACTTGGACGTTTGGAGTGATTCAGCTGGCAATATTAGGATATAGACAGATAAGGGCCTTATCCTACGCCTGTGTACTGATCTTAATGCTAAAATAAAGGTGTTGCCATCTTTTGTTCTAGCTGCGTTACACTTTCCAAACTTTATAGAGCTGCGCTGCTGCATGTTCCTTGTTGCTTATTTTTTTTTAAAAAAAACTGACACTATATTGCTACTTCTGTTGCTGCATCACATTCACAGGTTAAGCTTACTATCAAGATTGAGGACCCTAGAGATATAGAAAGAAAGAGAACACTCGGGATAGAGGATCCTGATGAAATTACTAGGGATGATTTAGCTAGCTGACGCTTTGGCTGAGGTACATCGCCGTTTCCCTGCAATATGCTACCTGGAGTCCTGCTGAGAGTCTCTTGAAAGTGAATATTATTGTTCTTTCCGTTTGTGAATACTGTGGATTGCTTACTGGCATCATCATCTAGCTTTACCACCGGCAAATATTTTATGTATTCTAGGTGCAATGTAACGCTCCACTGAAATTAAACTAAAAATGCTACCTCATAGTCTAATGTTGCGGGGATAAAATTAATAATGTGGACCAGAAAGCTTAAGTATTCCCTTTCATTGTGTCATGCGAGCCATGTTGTCTTTCTTTCCACATATCATTTTGAATGATAGTGCAAAGTCAAAAGATAACATGAGATAATTTGCTATAAAACCCTGCCTCCATGTTTATAATTTTGCTCCATGGATGAGCTATCCCCTATCTATTTTGTCTCCCTATTTTTTCTTAAAATTTTGCTAATCATATCAAATTCGTATTGTAGATAGTATCAACTGCACAATAGATGATACATTATGATCTCTGCTCCCACCCTGAAATATATATTTTGAACAAACAAAACAAGTTTCAACGAAATGCACATACCTTAATGTTCTTATACCACTTATTTTAACAACGTATTCTTTTGTTTTGTTCTGCAGGGATATGGTGCTCTGTATTTGTTGACAGTTTTTCCTGTTATTATTGGAATCTCAGTCGTCCTAATTCTTTTCTACAATTCTCTGCAGTAGTGAACCCCTGTGCTCCTCCCGTTCTTGAGTGAGAATGTGAGATGTTGCCTTCTTGTAAATCTGAGTTTCAAGGCTAGTCAATCAGAGTTGCAAGGCTACTCAATTTTTCCAGCTTACACCAAGTGTTGCAAAGATATGACAAGTCGTATAGATGTGAAATTCCAAATTTTGGAATGAGTCTTGAAGATATTTTTTTTTGTAAAATATAACTTGTTGTTCTTTGCCAATAATCTGAACGAGAGGAATTTTTAATGAAGAATATGTTTGAATAAAAGAGGTTTTTGTCCAGATTTGATTGACTGGGTTTTATTCAAAATCCTGTAACTTAGTAGGAGGCACGAACAAAGATCCCGGACTTCGATTTTAGCTTCCCCGCAGCGCCGGTTTTCTCTAATCCTTCGTCGCCAAGATCTTGAAACTAGCAGAGAGGAGGTGATCAATATCCCACAACACTCAGACTACTACTGAGAGCGGATCATGCAACAGCTTTTGCGCTATATATGCGTTGTGCTTTTGGTGTTCGTGTACATGTTGTCATCTTCCTTTTCTTGTTGTGTATCAGATATGCACGTTGTAGGCTAATAACGAGGTTGCAATTGTCATGGGTCTGGTGATTAGTTCAACTTAGAGCCTGTTTGGAGGGGCTCCGGCGGCTCCGGCAGCACGGTTGAGGAGCCGTCGGAGCCTCCAAATCGTAGCTCCTCTAGCTTCCTCCCCTTCACAGTGCATTTCAGCAGGAGCTGGAGCCCTTTGATGAGCCGCTACAGTAGAAACAGTGCGGTACAGTGTTGAGGGAAGAGGAGCCGAAGCCCTGGAGCTGCGCCAAACATGCACTTATGCTTCCTAACCAACTGACTACGACCGAGATATAGCATGTTTCTCGAAATAATTTTTCGAACCCAGGCCTTTGAGCTAAGTCACGCGACCAACTGAACCGCAATGACGTTGTTGCATGTTCCTCGGAACAATTATACTTGTTTATTTCAAACGCCAAGATCTATAGGGTAACGGCTCGGCGCCAAGATCTACGGCGCCGATGCCTTGTCCACGTCGGCGTCAGGTCACCGCCACGTCCAACGCCTCACCAAGACCTCGGCGCCATTGACCATGGCGCTGAGACGTGTTTCCTCGACGCCAAAAAGCCATGGCGCCGAGGTCAGGGTCCATAAACGAAAATCAAACCAACCAAGAGTCTATTTGTGAATATTTTTTAAAAAGGGCTAAAAGATAAAAAAATTCGGTGCACGCTACTGCTTCGGTCCCATGGGACTCCCAGGGCTTGCTGCCGTGCGCGCCGCGTCCGGCTGGCTCCACGCACCGATCGATCAGCAGGCTCATGCACCAGCAACACGTACTGTACCATTTTTTTTTTCCCGGAGAGCATGCACGGATCCACCACGTATATACCGTATACATAGCACGAACAAGGTTCCAATGCAAGGCAAGCGTGACCATCCAAAAAACGATACAAGGCCACAAGCCCACAAGTAATAAGCCTCGCATTGCACGGTATGCATGGTTAGGTAGGAGTAGGAAACGAGATAGCAACGGACGTGCTAGCCAGGCAGCAGTCAGAATGAATGAAGCAGCTCACAAATGTGTAAACGTGGATGTACGATGCTACTCGTATCTTCTTTTTTTTTTTGTCATTTGAGATAGAACCGCCCCTGGCTAAGCACCCAAATTAAGGTCATGTTTGACACGAGTCCAAACGGCTTCAACTAGGAATGTGCAGAGAAGCCAAAGCTGGTGAATCCATGGAACAATGTTTTCCTCTCACAACATTTCAGCATAAACATCAGCATAACCCAAATTTCAGCATAAGCGAACAGGATAAGTGGATTCACGTACTCTTAGTTCATTTTGAAAAGGAGAGAAAAACTACTCCTCTTTATGAACAGGGGAGCCATAACCTGAAGCCGCCCAAGGCTCTACTTAATGAGGCCTAATTATACTCTTTTTTAGCAATGTTTATTTGCACTCTTGTCTCTTGCGCATTGAAGCAGTGATTAAACGTTACAGTGAGGCAATATTATATTAGTAATTAAATGGAAATATTTGGTATACACTAGTGTTCAGGTAGTATATGGTATAGGTAGTCCACTACATTATGATATACCAACTCAATGTCTTCCTAAAATATCTTTGTCTTTTATAATAATACAAAGAAAAGTGGACCCATATGAGTTCAAATCCTCGACATATATGATCTCGTATTTTTCTATCTATTTATAGATCTAATGGCATTTTCAATAATAGATGACATGCCAATCTACGTACCGTTATTTGCCCAAAAAAAAAAAAAAAAAAATCCATTTAAATAGAAAAGGAAAAAAGAAAACTCTCATTTAAATTACTCGTGCAATGTCCTTGCTCAATTTGTCAACTAGGAACTCTATAGAATGGCCAACTACTCATTTAAAAAAAAATTATAAAGAGTACAACACAGACGTTCACACCCAAAAAAAACTACTCATATTAATGTACCTTCTTTTATTTTGGCAACTTATAATTGCACAGATACGTATTGGACCAAAGTGACTAGTATTTTTTAACATAATATTTTTGAAATATAACAAGTGTATGCTTTTACGAGTCTGCATTTCAAGACAGACCTATCCATATCGTTTTATATTTTGTGACCACACATCATGCCCGACTATTTTTTAAAAAAACTTTTAATCAAAAATAAATAAATAAAAGACCGCATCAATAGTGCAGCTTACTCGCTCCATTTCTCAAATAGAACCGTCCTAGCTAAGCAATCCTATTAATTGTACTCAGTATCTCTTTTTTTAGCAGGATTTAATTGCACTCACTTTTGAGTCGAAGGAATGCTAAAGATTGCAATGGGTAGTAGCAATTGAAATAGTTGGCAGTACATCAAACACTACTATAGTAACTCTAGTAAATTAGAGGAAGCAAATTTTAGTGCTCTATCTAAAAAATGGCCCGTGGTTTGGATGGAAACCAATGAGTAAACCACTTGCACTCAAAACAACACGGTACTGTAGGCAAAGCTGCGAAAAAGCAGGGGAACAATTCAGTTGATAGAGAATGAGGGTAACCGACTCAAATCTAGCCAACTAACCGTGTGCATCAGGTGTTGGCTGGTTTGCATGTCTCGATATGATGTCTCAAATCTAGCCTACTAACCGCATGCACCGCGTGCATTGACTAACTATGTAGTCCACTGGAGGCATGCTAAAATGTTGACACCCACCACAATCGCTGTGGACTAAATTGTAACGCCACATGTTATAGCAAATTTCTTTACTTATATTTTTTTTTTGTCAATGTAGCTTTATCACCCAATTCTTAGGGTTATCACGGGAGGTTTATGTGATATATCTCCCTTTAAAAATCGACATGGCCCACTTCATCCCTGGGGTTTTTTGTGGTTCATTTTCAGGACGTCATCCTCTAATTAGCAATGGTTCAATCACTCCAAGGAAGAAAACTCTAGTCCAAGATTCACGTGGTACCGATGCCGAGAAACTACCCATGTTTCACTAGGAAGTTATATGCACTCTACAATATTAGTTATAGGGCATTCAACATTACTACGTTGTATCCATTACTTGGGGTAGGCTGATAGTTCCAATTCCAACACAAGAGTTTTTATGTGTTTTATGTTCCTTTAACAGTGTGAATTGTGGAGGGAGATATAGGTCACAAGAGATAACAACAATGCCATACACACGTTAGTCCCCATGATGTTGTCTTTCTAGACGGCCTAGATTCACCCCTCTATAGGATTTAGTCATCTTTCTCTTATCTTTGTTCTTTCTGCAGTACCATATGAGCATTCACGATTCACCTCTCTCCTCCCTACTAATGAGCGGGTGAGCACTTCCGCTCGTCATTAGGTCTTCTACACCAGCACGACGAGCACCCATCAATCATGACTAGCCTTTCTCTTCCCTTTTTGTTGTGTGAAACCACGAGCACCCACCATCTTTATTTTCTTTTTCTTGTCCAGAGACATGCAAGATAAGTTATATTTGATGGGATTTGAATTAGCATAAAATTGACACAATCGCATGGTGAATGATGTGAAGTCAGTTGAACTTATACGTGTTCCATGTTGTCAACGTAGGCCGACTATAATATATAATAAGAGCATCTACTGATAAATAAACACCAAAAGGAGACCATATAAGATTCAAATAGTTTGACATCATAATATTAAGCATGTTTCTAGAATATATATATATATATATATATATATATATATATATATATATAATTGGTTTCATATTTTCAGATATATA